CCAGACGTTTTTCACATCACATGGTTTATGGTTGAGTATAGGGTTAAGGTTTATGGGTTGGGATTACTGTATCCCACCCTTTGGAAGAAGTGACAACTTCCTGACCATGGAAGATTTAGCAATAAATCAGCTATTATGTAGCCTGTAGCTTATTGTTTGGAATTTTTCAAAAATTGTGAGCGAGCATCCTATGTCAAGTGTTGGCCTATTATTTATTCTCCACATTATGCCACATGACAACAACGACTCACTGCTGCCTGAAAATAAAAAGTCATAACTGAATAACTGTAGACCATTACTTGCCAGATGTTCTATGAGAACTGTGTTTGATGCATAGTCTTGATCCATAGACTATGTGCCGAACTACCAAGATGGATGCAGGTGAAATTCTTCCCCCACATCTAAAACATGTAACCAGCTGTCATGATGGGTACTGAAGCCAAGTCATTTCTTATTGACAGTATACAGGCTAAAATTTACGTGCATGGATGAAACATGACCACCTGCCACAAAAGGTTTTACTGACCTAATGTAGATGTGGGAGGCGTCCTTTGGGAAACGCAGATGTTGACTGAGAGGTATACAAAAACAGGTAGGAGTGATACCTCCACCCCATTTAGATTAACTATGTATCCTGCTCCGCTCTGGTTCGTCACACTTCCCCCCAACCCCACCTGCTCAAGTGACGTCACACAGGTGGCGAACTAATAAACGTGTCAACAAACAAGACGTCACACTGAGCGGCCGATGTGATTGGCGCAGAGTGTCGTTCCTGGTGCTGCAGAAGCAAGAGGACAGCGGCAGCTGCAGTTGCTATGCAGGTTCTTGAAAAAGGAGGACGGGTTAGAGTTTTCTATTCATTCATTTTTTAAGGTGTTTCCTTTTCTGTGGCTCACGCACACGCACACGCTGAGCATCTGGGGCTAAAAACAACAGTGTCTGAGAAGCAGCAGCGGTAGAGACAGCATTAAAATACCCGATGGAGACAAATCCCGGTTCGCGCACATGATCAGACAGTCACCACATAGGCTGCTCCATGGATGAAATGATAAGTCAGGTAATCAGTTGGTCAGCAGTCGGTAACAACAGGATGATTTGCCTCATTCAGTTTACCAGCATCAAAATATAAAGGCCCAAAAGTAACAGTATTGTTAACCTTTATATAGATACTTAACCTAGACAATGACATTTGTTTTTCGTATTTTGCCCTTATTAATGTGGTTGTCTAAAGTAACTACTAACATTATCACATAAATGTAGTGCAGTAAAAATACAATACTCTCAGAATCAGAATCAGCTTTATTGGCCAGATGTGTTGGACACACCAGGAATTTGACTCTGGTACATCGGCTCTCAATGTGCAAAACAGTAAACCAGTATAAGGCTGTGTAATATAACAAAATAAGCAGTATTAACATCAACAAACAGTGCAAAATAAGCAGTATAAACAGACAGTAAACAATGCAGACAGACAAAGGAATGTTCATTGAAATGAGATAAATAGGGATAAAAACAGAGTATTTAAAACTAGACACCTGTATAATCTGTATAATCTGTACGAGGTATATTTACAGATATTCCACTGAGGGTTGCTGTCCAGTCATACTGTCGTGGGTCAAGTGTCCATCAGAGTGACAGCCCAGGGGAAGAAACTGTCCCTGTGCCTGGTTGTCTTAGTGCACAGTGACCTGTAACTCCGTCCAGAGGGGAGGAGTTCAAACAGATTGTGTTCGAACTCTGAACTGTACTTGTACTGTACTTTGAACTCTGTGTATCTGTACCTGTCCTGTTTGGTTGCTGAGCCAAACCAGACAGTGATGGATGAGCAGAGAACAGACTCGATGATTCCTCTGTAGAACTGTATCAGCAGCTCCTGGGGCAGGTCGAACTTCCTGAGCTGGCGCAGGAAGTACATCCTCTGCTGTGCCTTCTTGGTGATGGTCCTGATGTTGGACGTCCACTTCAGGTCCTGGGAGATAGTGAAGCCCAGGAACTTGTAGGACTTTACTGCTGATACAATGCTACCAAGTATGGTGAGGGGGGGGTAAGGTGGAGGGGCTCTTCCTGAAGTCCACTGTCATCTCCACTGTTTTGAGCGTGTTCAGCTCCAGGTTGTTGCGGCTACACCACAGGACCAGCTGGGATGTGGTTTTCCCCAGCCTCACCTGCTGCTTCATATCTGTCAGAAAGCTAGTAATCCACTGACAGGTGGGGGCAGGCACAGTGAGCTGAAGTAGTGTTTATACAGCAGCATAAAATTGATTACTCAAGTCAAAAACAAAATTTGCAACAGTATTTTGTGCTATAGTTAAATGAACATAGTGTTTTGGGTACTGCATTGTACTCTTGACTTTGTGTTTTTTTTAATCTTGTTGCCATATTTATTCTACAATTACTTGTTTTTTTTTTTTATCTTGTTGCCATATTTATTCTACAATCACTTTTTTGTTTTACATGTTACCTGTTATGTTTTGCTGAGCCAAAGAGTTTTCCTCAGATCTCGACACCAGTTGTTTTCCACTAATAAATGGAAAGATAACGATACATACACGGTTTAACTAAGCAGCAGTTGAATTGTAAGTGTCCTAATGTAACCTATATGAAATCAACAACAGTCGGAAAAAATGCAAGACGTACGGTACGTCCTTACGTCATCACGTTAACCCTGACGCGGAAGTGACGGTTGGTTTGCCGGAAACTATCACCACGCTTGTTTGGAGGCCACGAACCTTACTCAGGTAATTTATCATGTTTTTCACTAAATATGAACAGATATGTGAAAAACGTACGTACGTATTTAGTCGAAGCTGTTTGTCGATAACGTGTGTGCTAATGTGGCAGGATTAGCTCTTAGGTTGTAAACTTTATAGACCAGCTAGCTATTTAGCCAGTTAGCTCTGAAAACTGTCGCGGTTTTCAGATCGTAAATACTGACGGATTTGACGGATTAACTCCACAACGTGATAAAAGCTCGGTGTTGTATACATGTCCTGCTGTTCCAGGATCAGAAGTGAGCCATCCTCACTGTCGTCATGGCTGTGAGAGCATCTTTTGAGAAAAACAACGAGATTGGCTGCTTCGCCAAGCTGACCAACACGTACTGCCTGGTGGCCATCGGAGGCTCCGAGAACTTCTACAGGTGGATTTTTTACTTCTTCAGACACTTGTCACGTTATGTCGCTTCAGTTCAGACAGCTACGTTAGCTTGTGTAGCATGGAGGCTGTGATCAGGCCCGAGCCTCTGGCTGATGTCACCCCAGTGTAATCTCTGGCTCCGAGTTGCGTCACCAGGGAGAAGGCAAACGTTCGTAAAGATGTGTGCGATCGGCGCGTGTAAGAATCCCTGGCCACAGGACAGTGCTCACTATCCAAAGTGGAAGGTTTTACCAAAGTTACATTTTAGCTTCATTTGGAATAGCAAATGTAGTCTGTGTCACTGAAAACTATCTGAGCCAGTTAACCAGCTCTCTATGATTATGGCTGCTAGATGATAATGTGGGGTCACATTGTCTCTGTTGTGTCTTTCTCTAAACTGACAGTAGCCGGACTGGACCAACACTCTGACTGTTGCTATGAATTAGGGGAATTAAAGAATATAGCAAAGAAATGCAAGATTTTTATGAACGACCTCAGTGGTGACCTTTCAGAGGCTCTATAGAATATTACAGTAATCAACTGAAAGTAAAGTGAGGATGAGAGTGACACATACTTTTGACCTGTCAGTTGACCTTGTTTATCAGTGTTTGGTTTGTGTGACTGCAGTGTGTTTGAAGGGGAGTTGTCAGAAACCATCCCAGTGGTTCACGCGTCCATAGCAGGCTGTCGCATCATAGGGAGGATGTGTGTGGGTGAGTATCACTCTGGAGTGCACACAAACCTTTCTCCTGTCTTTATGCTTTAGTTCTGATCTCTTTCCAACTCTCAGGGCCCTAAATTTGTTCACCACTCTCCCCCTTTTTAGCTTCCAGAAGACAAAACAGAACTAAAAGCTAAATGGAAACAGTTGGCTCTGTTACTGTGGGAGTTGATTTGTTTGGCTCCATCTCTTTAGTCTGTGTTGATGTTTCAGACATCACTTCAGTGCTGCTGACAACTCTGTTTGTCCTGTAATCAGGAAACCGTCATGGCCTCTTGGTGCCCAACAACACGACAGACCAGGAGCTGCAGCACATCAGGAACTGTCTGCCAGACGCTGTGAGGATCCAAAGAGTTGAGGAGAGGCTTTCTGCGCTCGGTAATGTCATCGCCTGCAACGACTACGTGGCGCTGGTGCACCCTGACCTCGACAGGGTGAGAAACACATAGACAGCTGAACACCTCAGCTGAAACAATCAATTGATGCTAATTTAATTATCTGATTGTTTCAGTCATTTAGACATCTTCACACGTGCCCCCATTTCAATGTTTCATGTCATCAAAGACTAAATATTCACCGCTCTTTGTTCTGTTACTCTGACAATTCATAAACTGGCTGGGGTGGCTGTGGCTCACGAGGTAGGGCAAATCGTCTTCTGACCAGCAAGTTGGTGCTTTGACTCCCAGTCTCCCCGCATGCCTAAGTGTCCCTGAGCAAGACACTGAATCCCGAATTGCTCCCGGTGGCTTGACTAGCGCCGTTGTGTGGCAGCCTTGTCGTCATCGGTGTGTGAATGGTGTATGATCTCCTGTAAAGCGCTTTGGCCAGTGCAACACACTGTAAAAAATGCGCTATATAAATACAGTCCATTTACCATTTAAACTAAATGATGAGTAAGCAAACATTAAACTTTATATGGCACCTTTTAAAATCAGAATTAGAAGCTGCTTCCCAGAACAGAGTACCATGAAACAAGAAGAATTTCAGGATGTGGCCGAATGGAGAGAATTAACACAAAATAAAGAAACGATACACGACCACATACTGTATATTTTGAAAAAGCTAAGTGAAAATGTTGGATGATTTTTAAATGTGCCCCTGACTCAGCTGGTCTAACACTTGGTGGAGGTTGTTTGGGGCTGTGGGGTGGTGATGTCTGAAACCTGATCAGGGCTGATGACCAGAACTTCAGACTTATAGACCCACTGACCCCGTCGTCGCTCTCCATGTTTACTGCTAAGGGTCTGTGAGAGGCTGACACCGAATGATGGCGACAGGCCGTATGTGCAGAGAAGGACCACGTGGATTCTGATCTGACCGTTCTGACAGCACTCGCAGTCAGAGGTCGGAGAGGAATCGGATCTCGGCACACATAAGCAGGTGGCCCAGATCTGGTCTGAGGACATCTGATCTGGTCTGTTCACACTGCTGTGGACACACCAGGTCTGAGGCAGTGGGTGGGGAAAAAATCAGATTTGTGAGACTTGTATGTGAAATGTGAATGCAGCCCTTCATCCCGCTCCTCTTCCTCTGTCCTTTCAGGAGACGGAGGAGATCCTCGCAGACACTCTGAAGGTGGAGGTTTTCCGTCAGACAGTAGCAGAGCAGGTCCTGGTAGGCTCCTACTGCTCATTCAGCAACCAGGGAGGTCTCGTCCACCCAAAGACATCGATAGAAGACCAGGACGAGCTGTCGTCTCTGCTACAGGTTCCCCTGGTGGTGAGTGACAGAGTCGGCCACACATCTTTATGCTCCTGGGGTTTAACAGCTAACCAGTTAAAAAAAAAAAAAGGTTGTCATTGTCATACTCGGTGTACAGTTTCTCCACCAGTGGGTGTGACACTGATGTACATAATATATACATAATCTCATTCTGTTGAAAATAACAAAGCACATAAAAGTGTAGAAGACGTCCTGAGCAGTGGACTCAGTTTATTAATGGAAAGACAGGCAGAATCATACAGTTTCATTTTTAATTGACAGTTTGTATATGTTTAGCCTCATGTTGTTAATAAAATGCAAACATTTTTTTGTAGTCAAGTTTTTGGTGCTTCCCACCTGTAACATCAGGTCATGTGCAAGAAGATATTAGTAAAAATCTCTGTGTCACAGAACAGCCCTAACCTGTAAGATGGCAGTATCGATAAGGAGGCAGTTAATTTATATATTAAAAATAAAAATGTAGTAATTTTTTACTTGGACAATGAGACAACGGCCTGTAGGGCCAACTGTACGTCTCACTGGTGAGAACTGAGTCTGAATCTGCTTTATTGGCCAGGTGTGTTGAACACGTGAGGAATTTGACTCTGGTACAGCAGGCCACGAGTAAACTAGGTAAGACTGAGAGAACTAGAGAAGAAAAAGGAATGTGTATTAGGAAAATAAGAATAAAGTACTTAGAAATATAGAAATGTACACACACAGTTCAGATGCATTTTCCAGATAGATACATCTGTTTACAAGTGTTGCACTGAGGGTTGTTGTCCAGTCATACTGTCATTGGTTAAGTGTTCATCAGAGCGACAGCCCAGGGGTAGAAACTGTCCCTGTGCCTGGTTGTCTTAGTGCACAGTGACCTGTAACGCCGTCCAGAGGGGAGGAGTTCAAACAGGTTGTGTCCAGGATGTGAGGGGTCAGCAGTGATCCTCTCCGCCCTCCTTTTGACCCGTGCGGTTGTAATGGGGTCTGCTATGTGTGGCACTCCTTGCACGCCCGTAGGATCTCGTATACTCTGCGTTGCGTGTAGGTTATGATGGACACCGACCACTGGTTTCACACAGGTTGCCTTTTATTGTCCCAGAGTGACGATGGATGGCACTTCTCTCAGCTTGACAATGTGAACTGGCAATCTGGTAATCAGCAACAAACAGAATTAAATAAAATACACTGAGGTAGTCGT